TTTTCCGGCGGGATTACAAAACCTAATATGTATATTTTAAGATTTCTACCAAAATATTTCGGAAAAATATTAAGATTTAAGCGAGCTGGACCGATTTGAAAATACCTTTAAAAATTAAGTTTTTTATGAATAAAAATAGTTCCTTAAAGAAATTTTTGAAAAATATCCCCTCAGATGATGATAATGAGATTTTTGATACTGTTTTTTTTTAATTTTTTTTCAAAGATTTGTGTAAGAAAAACTTGAATAACTGCTCCTAAACTTTACCGATATAGACTTATGAGGTGTCAGTGGAAAAATATTTTCTCACACTTTTTATTTCTTTGCAAAAAACTCATTCACGTCACAATATTTTCTTTATCAAATACCAGCACATCTTAATTTAACATGGAATGACACACGTTTATCTTAGCTTCCTCTTTCATACTTTGAATGAGCTTATTCGCAAGGAAATTAAAAGGGTGAGAAATTATCTCACCATTGATACCTCTCAAGTCGAAATTGGTAAGGTTTTGGCCGAGTTACTCAAGTTTTTCTAAAACCAGTCTTTGAAAAAAGTTCAAAAATAGCATCCAAAATCTTATTGTCATGATTTCACAGCAAATTTTTTCAAATATTTTTATGCAAAATTTTTAAGCTTAAACTGTTCAGTCATCTGAAGTATTTTTTTCAAAAAATATTTTAAAAAAAAGCTGTTTTTACTAGTAAAAAACTCAATTTTTGAAGGTATTTTCAAATTAGTCGAGCTCACGTAAATCTAAATATTTTTCCGATATATTTTGGTGGAAGCCTTAAAATATAATAGATTTAATAATTCCAATGAAAAAACAGTAACGAGTTTTTTTTTTTATGGGGAGTGATGCAGTCTAATGTACATGTGTGTGTACTCGAAAGCATTATCTTATCAAAATCTAAACACCAAAAAAAAATTGGACAACAGGTGATTTGTTGTTGTGGTTGCAGTGCACAAATGCACACACACACTTGGGGTGATGTACATACATACATACATACGCACATATATTTCACACCATTTCGACGTGATGTTAAGCAAATTATCTACATGCATATATTATCTGTAACATACAGAAATCGCGTCAGCTCCATACACCCATATAGCCTTATTCATATATACGCACACATTCACCAATATTTATGCAAAATAAAAAGGAAACAACCAAAGTGCTCTAGTAAAGTGAGCACACCGTACGAGCACACTCTGTCGACTTACGAGCTCATATTAGCCAGTTTAGTCGTTCACTTTCCTCATAAGCCAACGCGTCAATTAGCGAGCGTAAGTAAATTAACGGAAAAATTAAAAAAAAAAATTAACTACTTTCCCAAAATTCTAAAATTGCAAAGTGCATTTTGTGTGTGTTTGTGCAAGTGTGCGGCTTTTTGAGCTATTAAAAGTACCTTGTTTTGTAACTTTTTTATGCTGCACAAAGCAAAGCTCGCCGCTTTCAACCAACTAACTAATATTTTACTAATTATTAAGTGATCTCGTTTTTTTACTACTTACATGCATACATACCTCATATGTGTGCCCATTTAAAGCTCGTGTTAATGTCCGTCGGTAATGCGCTATTAGTTAATAATTTAACACTAATTGATTGTGCTAATTGTGTGCTAAGCAACAGTGGCTGCGAAGCTTATGGAAACAAATAAACAAAAATTCAAATGAAAGTAAATTTAAAAATTGTGTTAATTACTTAAGTTCGCTTTCGAGGTATGAAGTTTGGAAATGTTTTAAGAAATCAATTTGTAAAGACTTTTGCTAAATATTTTTTTTCTTTTTTTATAAATAATTAAAAAATTTTACTACTCTGCAAAAATGCGAAAAATTGTGTGCAACTAACTAATCTCTATAGAGACTAGTCGCGGATTGATCTCCCGGGCACATAACTGAGCAATAATTCTTCTTCTTCGTTACGGGGGCTGCAACCGCCTAAGCGATTTGGTCGTTTCTCTACTGTGCCAACTTACGCCAATTGGAAATGCTAAGTGAAGCCAGGTCCTTCCCTACCTGGTCTTTCCAACGCAGAGGAGACCTCCTCTTCCTCTGTTACCAGCATTGCGACCCGCATGGAATACTTTCAGAGCTGGAGCGTTTCTGTCCATTCGAACGAAAGTTCAATTAAAATCGCTGCGCGACTTGAATCGGCCTGCTTCCGCTTTGAGGATTCCCTTAATCTAATGGGACCCCATTTGTGACTGAAAAAGTTAGGAATTTGTTTACAGCTCCTGATAAGATTGCTGATGCATTCGATGCTCTACACTCTTCCGATTAATTTCTGATTGCTATTTTTCTCAGACTAGAGCCGATCGGTCGGATCCCTATGATGGGAATGACGAGTAGTGACAATTCAAAGTTCTTCCAGAAATTTCTTTTGTAGGTGTGTATACTTAAAATGCTATTAGGTCCTTTTTGGTCTTTACCCCGCGTTGCTCTTCTCCGTAAGTTTTTAGTCAAGGACAAAGCTATGTAATGTATTTTAGCTAGTCCTATCCTGCTTTGGTGAGGAAAATTCAGGGGTGTTTGTCTTTTTTGTAAACAAGATAAATTCAGTTTTGGAGAATTAACATTCACCGTGCCCATTCTAAATCCAAGCTATCCGTATAGGAAACTAACTTTGTTCTCTTTGCCTGCCAATGAAGTCCATAATCGTCCCATTTACCAAAAAGAGGCGGTCGATTTGACCAAGTGGCACAGAGATTAAGTTTTCACAAGGGGCGAAATATCTAGACGTGATACTAGACAAGCCACAAGGGCATTTTTTTTGCTTGTCAAAGCATGATCATTCAATGCAGCGACAAAACCGATTGTCATTTATGCGGCACTGGCGGCTACCCAAAAGCCAAACAAGCAAGCTCCACCATCACTCTGGGTAAGCTCCAGCGACTGGTGTGGTCATGAAGGGGGCTATGCGCAGGTGCTCGACAGAGGCGCTTGGAGCATTCACAAGCATGCCACCTCTAGCTATACTTATAGAAAAAGAGGTATGTCGGAGTGTACTTACGAGTGCCCTGACACTGCCAAACTTAAGTAGCTTGAAAAGTGGGAACTTAGGGGGCCTTTTGGGTGTCAAAACACCATTCGCAAATGATCCCGTAGTCAAGCTCACAGACCCATGTTCAGTGAACGATCTCAAGTGTGGTGCAATGATGGATACCATCATACCTAGATTTCGAAGAAGAATTCCGACGGACATATACCCAATCATATTCCAGGTGGAATTGAAGTCTGTGCTCACTAATGTCTTCGCAGAAGGACTTAGAGGGCGACTATAAACATCATGTCGGATAGCCAGGCAGCGTTAATAGCCCTAGACTCTTGCAGAACTGTGTCACGGCTACTAGACAGTACTGAGAAACTAGTATGCAATAACAAAACGATAACAAAACAAAGGGCGAACACTCTAGCGGAATGCGGGCCCAACTAAGCCTATCGGCGCTCAGCCTTTCTGTGATCCGTCCAGAGAATACACGGCAGTGGAACACGACAAAGGGCAAAAGGCAAACCAAAATATGCATAACTCCCTCTTCGTGATCGATCGTTAAATCTTAGCAGTTTAAAAACTCCCATCGGGTGCCTGATAGGACACACCAGGCTGAGGTACCATCTGCTGACAATCGGATTCATTGAGGAGGCGAAATGCAGATTTCGTGAGCTGTGCTTAAGCGTCTAATTAAGGGTTAGCACAATAGATCCAGTTAGGTCCCAGCGCTATTTGCCCTGTTTTGCAAAGTAAATAAGCACCTTTGAGGTAGGATAATCCGTCTGACAGCGCTGAGATAAAATGAAACAATCTTGCTTGGCTGCGTTAGTACAAAGTTAATATACTTAATTCAAGGTTAAGATAACTCATCGAGTTCATCACCCGGCGTTTAACTCTATGAGCGACGGAAATTTCAAGAGCTTTTTAGCCCATTAAGCGCCAAAGAAAAATTGGTTCTGGTTTTTGCTTTTAATAATAAAAATTTATTGAATATGAATAAAAACTAAAAAAAATTAATTAAAAAAAAAGATTATAAAAATAAAATAAATTAAAAATAATATAACAAAAAATAAAATAAAATAAAAAAATTTAATTCATGTTGTACAAATTATATATATATTTAACATCTTTGCTACACATAGAATTGTGGAAAATATTTGCGGTTTAAAAAATTGCCTTACTTCGCGCAACACCTCAAACATATGAATGTGGTTCAAATTCTAAACCAGTGCTGCCGAAAGAGTTAAGATAGGATAAATTAGTGGCTAACGACTAGTTTAGATAAAGCATACATACATACAAACATACCTTTTCGTATTACATCTTGCTACTAAATTCATAAGCATAAATAGTATATACGCATTTATGCTTCACTTTATTTAGCTAACTATATTAATTTTAAATTATTTCCTGTTGCAGATCAATAAATACAGCATTAGAAAACAATAATAAGACATAAATCACGGCGCATGAAAGTGCAAAGAAAGCGAGCAACGTACAGCGAGCGCATTTAACGAGAAAGAGGGAAAGAAGAAGAAAATTGTTGATAAACACAAAAAAAAACCATTAATGGGTATTATGCCACAATTATTAATAAAAGTAAAAACAATTTTCAATTACCAATACCGAATAAAATTGCAAGCGGAAATCATAAAGATTGAAACGTCGCATCGGACAGACGGTCTGTGAAAGCTATGAAAAATAATTAAAATCAATAAAAACAGCAGTAACAACAGCGAATATATTGCTAATAACAAATAAATATTGCATTTACAATAACAACATTCCAATTGGTAATACTGTATGCAATAACAACCATAACAGCAGCTAAATAAATAAAAACAACAGCAACTGCGCCGGCAATATCAATACAACAACACAATGGACGCCAACAGAGCGACTATAAAAAATAGTAGCGTTGGCAGCGCAGCCAACGATGCCCGTCAAATGTCGCCAACGCGCGATGAAGTCGACTTTGTTGTTGTGTCGTCTAACAACAATAATAATAATAACAACAACAATCATTTTATCAATGGTAAAATCATGAATGGCAGCAATCATCACCTCACAGCGGCCGATAATGCACCGAACAACGCATTGAACTCAAATTCGAATACGACTTCGAAAATGTTTGCGAACTCGAAAACGCTAACAAATGAACATTTACAATACCAACAAAACCGACCAGAGACGCAACAACACAAAGAGACGGTGAAGAGTAAAAAGAAAGCAGCCGCTGCAAACAGCAATAACAACAACAACAACAACAACAGCAGCAGCAGCAGTCAAGAAGAGCCAAAGAAGAAGAGTTCGACTAAAGAGCGTCTATCGCTGTTCTCCACACTGGGGCGACGCATCAGTCAAAAGGCGTTGGGCCAAAAAGATTCCAATGCAAATGGATCAACGCCACAGGTATCAGCGCAGTTGGAAAAATCAACAGCCGCGGGCAATCCATCAACATCAGCAACAGCAACAGCAACAGCAACAGCAACGACAGGAAACGTGCACACCGCCACATCTCCCCGCCAACGCACGTTTGTGAAGAGCTCGTCCATTGCACGCTTGTTGGGCAACACTTATCAGCATAATGCCAAGAAATTTGAGAAGCAACAACAATGCATAGAGCAACAGAACAGCAAACCGCACGTGGATGGCAAATTCCATACGTACGGTGGTAGGCGTCGTGTCAGCGGTCCATATTTGGATCGTTTCAAACTTTACTCCAAGGATGACGCCGATGTCAGCTCAAGCAATGTTGACAGCAATGATGACGGTGATGCTGAATCAACAATAGATTTCACCGATATGCTGGAATTGAACGGCGACACTGCCGATGAGCTGCAACGCGCTTCAAACGGCCTCGAACGTTTCTGCGATCATAGCACAGTGGCAGCTGGTGAAGATGAAGCGGCAGCAGAATTGGGCAGCAAAACTATGCGTACATTGTCGCGCAGTTTGGGACGATTGTGGGGCAAGCGGTTGCATAGTGTGGACATAAGTATACCAGATCCCGAGTACAAGGTCTCTTATTTGGGCAATGTGCTGACAGGTTGGGCCAAAGGTGAGTCAGAATGAGTCAAATTATTTATGTAGATACCAGCAGATTATAAAATGTACATATTGAGTGATAAATTGGAGTAACATAGAGTTGGCTTCGCGATGTCTCAAATATATGTATATTTCTCAAAGTTACATGAGTTTAGCGGTAGATCTGTATAGCGTCGAATCAGAACCGGGAGTATCTATTAATTTGGAAAGGAGACGATCTACTAGCACAAGGGTTTTTTAGAAGTCCCAGTGTAAACTGTCGGAAGCCTCGAAAACAAAAAAGAAATCTTACTTTAACACCGGCTGGTTTTACCAATCACGTTATACTGACTAGTCCTTCTGAAGTCAATTTTTCCGAATACATCATAAGAGTTCATAGCATCAGGCATAATATGAAGGCTGCTATAGCAATTCTTTCGGTTGATTTCTCAACCGGGTATCCCTTATCGGAAGTAAGTGTGGGATATAGAACGCCAATGTAAAGTTGGCGAATAAAGTTGACAAAGTCGAATAAATCTAACTGGTTTCGTGAATCTGACAAAGGAAAGAAGTTGATATATTGAAACGATGATAAAAATCTATTCATTCCATAGATGACATTGAAAGCATTTTAAAACTAAAGTCAAGTGTGCAGCGAAATTTAGATAGCTGGAAGGAAGTGATGGACAATCCTAACGCGTGGCTTAAGACCGCCACTGTCCTCAGCAGGCCAACGGTTAACCCAATCTCTCTTTTCTCGAAGAATTATGGCCTGCCATTAGCATTTTACAATCTTACTTGTTTCAAATAGCACCGAAAGGAGCTCACCATCCTGAACTCAGCGTCTAAAAAGCCTGCATTCTGCAAACCTCAAATCCTTAAAATAATGTGTAGCTCCTTACCGAAGACAAGACTCCTGCAAAGCCCTTTCAACTAAACTCGAGCCAACTATGAACAAGTTTACTGAGTTTAGGCGTTAACCAGAGTTGGTTTTCATGGGCTTTTCTCACCAAAAATGATACGATTTGTTTTGTGCAGATAAACTTCCGGGTATATCGTCCTTTATTTCGGAATTAAATAAACGTTCTATCTCAATATAAATCCAATATATAGGCAACTAAGATAGAGCAATTTTGAACCATTTGTTGGGATAAGGCATGCTTCAACCAAAATCTGAAATAAGGCGTTTTTCCATTGTTTGCTGATATAGGCCATGAAAAAGTAGAAAGTCTTACTTAAGCATTGCTGTCCTTAAGGTCCGCCAAGCACGACGATAATTCAGGTAGTTTTTCCATTAAAATAGCTATTATGGCATCATCATTAAGTTATCTGAAGATAGGGTTAATGTTAAGGCACGGCGAATCAGTACTCCATTTGGTTTATATTTCCGCAGAATCTGTCAGGTTCTACTAATTCTAGTCTGAGCTGCTGGACGATATGGGCGCTAAGTATGGCTAGATAATGCGGGTGGTAAATATAATAAAAATTAACGCATATGGTGAGCAAAATACCCCATATTAAACTTCTTAATGTCACTTCAGGTGCGTGTTGATACTGGCACAAGACTTTATGCCGCCTCCTATAGTTTTTTGTTAGCAAAAATAAATCCACAGGTATGTAATGTTTGCGGAGGCTCGGCGTCAAACGATGGGTAATAGATCGTACAGACGACCACGTTAACAGGCATCTTACTGTCACCGACTCAACCACAGCAGGTCTGTAGCGGTCCTTGTTGCCTTTTGCTACCGGAGTCACTGCTCCCTGCTCCCAGCATTTGGCATTCAACTGTGAAGTCTGGCTGTCTCCGGATTGGAGGAAATCCTTCACACAAATTAGGATTGTTCCCAGTGCGCTTTGCCGGGATGCAGAGTTTCCTGACCTCTTTCTTACTAGCATTGCTCTGACTAATTGGCTTAATATGTTTTTCGAAATGTTTTGTTCTTCTTTATTTATTCAAATATTCATTCATTCACACAAACCAAATTAAATTACCAAAGTCACATCCTACCTCTCAAGTTATTTCGTCTTTCCCCCCCCCCGTAGGTGAGGGTTGCGTTGAAAAGCAACTGAATACACTCTGGCGCAACTACACGCAAAATAATAAGCCCGACATGATCATGCGCATCAAGGTATGCGCCAGCGGTCTGAAAGCAACAACACGTCAACACGGACTCACCGAGTACTGGGCTAATCGCATCACACACTGTTGTGCGCCAAAGAACTATCCACGAATTTTCTGCTGGGTCTATCGACACG